GGGCATGGGGGTTTGGAGAGCCTGCGGGGGCGGGAGGAGGTGGGCGTGGGGCCCGGAGGGCCTGCGAGGGGATGGGCATGGGGGTTCTGAGAGCCTGCGGCGGGGTAGACGGGTGGGTGGGGGTGCGGCCTGGAGGGCCTGCGGTGGGGGATGGGCACGGGATGCTGAGACCTGTGGTAGGCATGGGAGAGGTCCTGCGGTGGGGGATGGGCATGGGGGAGGGCCTGCAGTGGGGATGGGCATGGGGGAGGGCCTGCAGTGGGGGATGGACTCTGGGGGTTCCGGAAAGGCTGAGGCGTAGGGGGAAGGCTTTCAGTGGAGATAGGTGGGGGAAGGTCTGCAGAGGGGGATAGGTATTGGGGGAGGGTCTGTGATGGGGGATGGGTGTTGGGGAGGGTTCCAGAAAGTGAGTTGTGGGATGGGGAGGGGTCGGCAGAGATAATAGGTGTTGGAGGTCTGGAGAGTTTGGGGGGGGGCGGGGAGACTGCAGGCAGCTCCTCAGAGCCCAGTCTCTCTCCCGGGAGGATGGCTACCCCGAGTGGAGCACATTTTTGGGGTGGGGGGGTCCCCGAGGTCCCTGTCCCTCCCCCACCGTGCATTTACCACCCAGGGTGGAGTGGATTGGTGCAGACTGGACACCCCCTGAGGGCGGCCACTCCCACTTGCCCTCTCCCCTTCCAGTGTTCTGGGCCTCTCTGGAGCCCTTCTTGGCCCTTGCTTGGCACACCGTGTGCTGTATTTATTTCCCTTTAATTTTTTTTAAACTCTGCTAATGTTTGTTAATGCCTGAATGTGTTGCCTGACTCATCCATGCACTCGATATTTGCCCACCCTCCGGGGCTTTATCATTTGGGGCCTCAAGTGTAGGGTTTTTTTTGTTTGTTTTTGTTTTATGTGGGATTTTTCTGTTTGTTTTTTTGGTCAGTCACAGGGCTTGAACTCTAGGCCTGAGCGCTTTTCCTGTGCTCTTTAGCTCAAGGCGAGCACTCTATCACTGGAGCCACAGCACCACTTCCAGTTTTCTGGTGGTTCACTGGAGATAAGTGTCTCATGGACTTTGCTGCCTGGGCTGGCTTTGAAAGTCGATCCTCAGATCTCAGCCTCCTGAGTAGCTAGGATTATAGGCGTGAGACACCCGTGTCCAGTGCAAATGCTATTCTTTTGGAGAGATGCTGCTCATTCCACCCCTATAGCCTTCACCAACTATACAAACCCTAATCCATTTGCTTGTGTACTACATGCAGTCCAGTTCCTCCTTATTTCTTATAGTATGCCCTCATCTGCATTTTGTGTTGAAGGGATGGGACTTGAGTTTTTACTCTGCTTTTATGCTCACAGCTGCAGGTCTACCACTCAAACCCTGCCTCCACTGTGGTGTTTTGCTGATTAATTGGAGATAATCTCTCCATCTTTTCCACTGGGCTGACTTCAAACTGTGAAAGGAAGGGGTCCAGTTTCCACTTTTATAATTCCTCTTTCACCTAAATGGCCTTTGACTCTGTTGTCATATTTATCAGCTATATATATATATATTAAATCTATCTATCATATGCCTTCCCCCCCCCCCCATCCCTGAGCTCTCTTTTGCTCAAGGCTAGTGCTCTACCACTGGGAGTCACAGTATTACTTCAGGTTTTCTGGTGGCTATTGGAGATAAGTCTCACAGACTTTCCTGCCTTTGAACTATGTGATCCTTAGATCTCAGCCTCCTGAGTAGCTAGGATAACAGGTGTGAGCCCCCAGATCTACTTTATTATTTTTAAATATAAAATGTTATTGTTATTCAGGTGTTGTGCAGAGGAGTTACCATTTCATAAGTCAGGTAGTGAGTACATTTCTTTTTTTGGTCTGGTTGTGGGGCCTGAACTCTGGACCTGGGCGCAGTCCCTCAGCTCTTCAGCTCAAGGCTAGCGCTCTACCACTTGAGCCACAGCGCCACTTCTGGCTTTTTTCTTTTTGCTTACGTGGTGCTGAGGAATCGAACCCAGGGCCTCAGGCATGTAAGGCAAGCACTCTACCACTGAGCCACCTGCCCAGCCCTCTTTTTTTGGACAGTGTCACCCTTCTACTTCCAGCTTGTTTTTTGGTTGTTTATTGGAGATAAGTGTCTTACAGACTTTCCTGCCCTGGCTAGCTTTGAACTGTTAACCTCAGATCTTAGTCTTCAGAGTAGCTAGGATGATACCATTGTGAGCCACTGGTGCCTGGAGAGATTTTCCAGTTTTGATGCTAGTACAGGAATAGTATCAATGGTCTTATAGCCAGCAAACTTGCAATCTGACTTGGTTTCCTTTGTTTTGTTTCCGAGATAGGATCTCTCTATGCAGCTCAGGCTGACCCCAAATACTCAATCCTGCCTCAACCTTCTGACACAGACTACTGGGGTTATAGGAGCTTACCACCATGCCCGGCCCACAGTTGCTGTGCTTTCAGTGGTTTTTTAGGGTGGTTATTTGTTCATTTGCTACAGGATCTTGATATGTGGCCTAGACTGGCCTCCAACTTGAGATTCTTCTGCTTCAACTTTCCAGGTTCTGGGATTACAGGTGTGCACCACCACATGGAGACTTGTTAGTGCTTCTAATAATTTGTATATTGGTATTGTATGTTTTTCTCTATTAATCATGTCTTTCTGTGATAGTTTCGCCTTTTTCTTTCCAATGTAGTAGCTATACCTGTATCTTCTGTTTTTCTAGCAGCACTGTGTTGAACACTAGCAATGTGATGGACATCCTTTCTAACTATTGAACTCTCTGATAATGTATCATGATTTCCCAAACAAAAACCTTCCATGTAACATGACTGATGGCACTGTGGGCACAGAGAGCAGGGCCGCTGTGAGACAGTGTTCAGGGGTTAAGAGCAAAGAGAATTTAGCTTTAGGCATGTTGAATTTGAAGCCAGCTGTGGTCCTTCACACGTCATCCTAGCACTTGGGAGGCTGAGGTAGAAGGATCACTGATGGGAACGAGGAGACAGCTTTCACATCAGACCTCACTGCTCTGGGCACTGGGACTGGCTTCTCCTGGAACTGACTCCCAGCTGTCCCCCAGTGGCAGCCCCATCTTTCCAGTAGCCTCTCCCCCGCCCTTTCCCCTCTTTATCCTCTTAGAACCCCCATCTGTGCAAGTAGCACTCAAACTCTCTCTCTCTTTCTTGTTCTCTCTCTCCTCCATCTCACGTTTTCTTTAATAAAGCCCAGCTGTTCAGGTCACTCCTATTCCAGACTCTTCACTGTTCACTCTAACTTTCAACAGTTCCTCTACATTTTCTGTTGCCAAAACCTGGGAGGAACACTTCACCTTTAAACACTGTCCTTACAATTACAGAGTGATTTCCTGGGCTGGGAATGTGGCTTCGTGGTTAGAGTGCTTGCCTAGCATACATGAAGTTCTGGGTTCAATTCCTCAGTACCACCTAAACAGAAAAAGCCAGAAGTGGCGCTGTGGCTCAAGTGGTAGAGCACTAGCCTTGAGCACGGAGAGGCTCAGGGACAGTGCCCAGGCCCTGAAGTCAAACCCCTGGACCAAAAAAAAAAAAAATTAAAATTGTTTGAAGTGTGTGCAGACAACTCAAGTAGCAACTAGCAGCCAGTTGTATGGGTAAACTAACAGGGAAATCTGGTGTGGACGTTAAGGATTTATGGGTGGGGACTGAAGCCATGGGTGTGTGTGAGATCATCTGGGGACTGAACTTGTGAAGTGACAAGAAAAGCAGGCAGCCTGGGTCTCAGTGGTAGAGCACAGCTGCAATCCCCAGCACCACTGCCCAGGGAGAATGGGCTGGAGGCGGGAGGAAACCCAGCCGTGCCCACTTAGCATCAGTACCTCCCAGGTCAGGTCCACACCTGCTTCCAGACACCCAGCAAGGCCCAGGAGCCTCCAGTCACAGTAGAAACACTGCCATGTCTTGACTCTCTTCTTACTGTGTTTTTGCCAGTTGCCAAATACAAACTCAGAATAGTTGAACCACCAGTATTGCCTTTGGATAAAAAGTATGAGGCTGATGAAGATGGTGAGTAGAGAGGTATGCTGGGGCCCAGGGGCATCTAGAGCATGTGAGCCATGTCAGAGACTTGCTGTCCCCTTTTTGTTCTGCACAGACCCAGATATCGAGCCCAACCTGTGGATGTGGGTAAACCCCAACATCGTGTACCCACCTGGCAAGATGCAGGTCAAAGAAGCTAAGTGGGCACGTCCGTCGAGCCCTCCTCTCGCCTCCCAGCGATCTGTGAAGAAGGAGGAGGACAGCTGCTCAGAGGCCACAGAGGAGCAGCTGCAGCAGCCTTCCTCCAGCTTGGGGTCACCCTGTGAGAAGCCAAAGCTGAGCCAAGCTGCTGCCCCTCCCCCTTGCCCCTGGGAGGTACGGATGGTATGGGCTGGCAGTAGGCAGGGTGGGCCCGGGGATGAAAGCATCATCCTTTGGGTTTCTTAGAGACAGGTTAACAGGTTTAGGGGTGACCTGCTTCTTTGGGCTGGGGAGACTCCCAGATGTTGGTCTTAGACCATTCCCCCTCCAGCCACTGTACCCCAGAAAGAAAGCCAAGGAGTCAGGACCAGCTCCTGCTCTGTGCCCCTCTAGCTTGCGGAAGAGGAGGCAGCCCAGCACCAGGATGGCAGCTCCTCTGTGGCCCTTGCATCCGCTCATCTGAGGGGCCCCCTCCAGAGTCGGAGGCTCCGGCAGCACATCAGCTCAGAGGGCAGGCTCTGGCCCCGGCCTCCCCTCAATTACTTCCACCTAATTGCCCTGGCACTAAGAAACAGCCCTCCCTGTGGCCTCAACGTGCAGCAGATCTACAGCTTCACTCGGTATGCGCCCGGGGGCAGGGGAGGGACAAGGCCCTGGGTCTCATGTTTTCTAGCCTGCCCCTGACCTCACTGACTCGGTTTCCCCATTTGGGTCTGAGGACCTTTGCCTTCCCAATTCTCTCTTCTCAGGCAAATAGGGGCCTGCCCACATACAAGAACACAGCTCCCCCCACCCCCAGGCTTTTTTGTCTTAGCTTTCCTGTAAAATACAAATTCACCCCCCAACCTGCCTGTCAAGATTAGCCAGTGTAAAGTCTGTTTGTCCTAGGACTGTCCTGCCAGGTGCAGCTCTCTGAATCCCAGGGCCCTGGAGAGCCAGATGGAAAAAGGATTTGAATGTAATGCTGGGTGTGCATGCAGGTGCTCACGCCTGCTCACACAGAGCTGGAACCCAGGGCCTCACACGAGCTGGGCTGTGCTTTAGCTGAGCCACAGCCCAGGCCCTTCATTCAGCTATCGACCATAGTCAAGTATCCATTAGTACATAGGAATTTCTCGGACGGTTTCCTAGTGTAAGAAAAAGAACCCAATCCCTCAGACTCTCCTTGTCTGCTGTTTCTGCTGTAGTCAGAAGTCCTAATCTCCAAGGAGGAAGGGAAACCAGCCTGAGGTGGGGGTGGGGGGGTAGAGACAGTGACCTAGGCTTACAAAAGAGGGGAGGGGTAGGTTTTCTCCCTGCTTAATCAGCAGAGGGCAGTTCTGGGCCAGCTGGGCATTACCCCCCTTGAGAGAAGGACTAGGCCCCAGGGGAGAAGGCTGGGGAGTAAGGTCTCCCCCACCCGCAGCAAATCTTTGCCTTTCCTCCCTGTCCACAGACAACACTTCCCCTTCTTCCAGACGGCTCCTGAAGGCTGGAAGAACACGGTCCGTCACAATCTCTGCTTCCGAGACAGCTTTGAGAAAGTACCTGTCAATATGAACATGGAGGCCGGCACGCGGCCTCGATCGTGCCTCTGGAAGCTGACTGAGGAGGGACACCGCCGCTTTGTGGAGGAGGCCCGTGTCTTGGCTTCCACTAGGATGGAACGCATCCAACAGTGCATGAACCAGCCAGGTGTGAAGCCTTGTCATGCGTGGGCCCAAAGAGGGGGGACCCAAGGCTGAGTGGCAGCTTGGGCTACACTTGGGGGCATCTTCTGTAGAAAGCCAGAGAAATCTGGCTGTCTGACATTACCTGCCCGTGGAGAGGCCTCCCCAGTGACCTGGGGACAGGGACTTACCTACAATGGACTGAGAAGCAGCCAGGGGCAGCTGGCTGCTCATGCCCTAGGGGAATGGTGCCACAGACAGGGGCAACTTGGCTCTTCTAGAGCAGTTCAAGAAGCCACAGAATCTTGAGCCTTAGAATCTTGAGCAAGGGGAGGAGCTGGGCTGTGAAAGAGCACTCCAGATTTGGGGAACAGCAGTTCCAAACTGCAGGTTACTTTGAACTTCTTTCTTTTCTTGCAGATATGATGCCCTTCCTCTTTGACCTTTAAGAAGCATAAGTTCCATATGGCTTATTAAAGTTTCTCTGCATATTATATGTGTGTATGTGTGGTCTTTGTAGATGGGGTTCAGTGCCCACTACATGGGTGAAAATGGGGTGCCCGTCGAAGGTGGGTATGCTTCTGAGGCAGCAGTGGGGAAAGGAGGGCTCTGTGCCTTTCCTCCTGCAGAGGGAAATAACCTTCCCAGGGCCCTGGACTAATTCCTGTTTTTCTGAAAATTGTTTTCAGAAAAGCTAGCTTGCCAGCTCTGAAGTGTCACCCACTCATCAACTGGCACTGGTTAAGGAGCTGCTGCTCAGCACAACAGGGCAGGCCTCAATAGCAACTGCGGTAGGAGCTAGTGCAAGAGATCACACAAGGGCTGTAGGAAAAAGGTTTAAAGAAATGAGATGCAAGATGGGACATAAGGGGTTTTTGAGATAGGATTTGGCTGAGCATCCCAGGTTGGCTCGGGACTTGAGATCTGTCTACCTCAGTCTCTTAAGTGCTGGGACTACAGCAGTGAGCCATGATACCCAATTTTTTTTTTTTTTCCCTGAGACAGGGCTTTCTTTTCTTTTTTGTCGGTCGTAGGGCTTGAATGCTGGGCTTGGGCGCTGTCCCTCAGCTCTTCAGCTCAAGACAAGTGCTCTACCACTTGAGCCATAGCACCACGTCTGGTTTTCTGGTGGTTCATTGGAGATAAGAGTCTCACGGACTTTCCTGCCCGGGCTGGCTTTGAACCTCGATCCTCAGATCTCAGCCTCCTGAGTATCTAGGATTACAGGCGTGAGCCACCAGCGCCCGGCCTGAGAGACAGGGGTTTCTATATAGCTTGAACTCATAATTCTCCTGGTTACAGGCGTGGATCAATATACCCAGCTTGTAGCATCACTTTATTTATTTACTTAGTGCTGTCCTAGGCCTTGAACTCTTGCTCCACTTTACTCAGATCCGTCCCAGGAATGGAGGCAGAGGGCAAGTTCACAGAGAACCTTCAGGGAAATCCCCCAGTTTCCTTGTTAGGGTTGCTGGGATTAAATTTATGTGCTATCATGATTGGCTTCTGGTGTACTTTTTTTTGTACCAGGGCCTCAATTTTTTTTTTTTTTAATTTCCATTGTGGGGCTCAAACTCAAGAGTCTAGACGCTGTTCCTGAGCTTTTTTGCTCAAGACTTGTGTTCTATCATGTTTAGCCACAGCTACACTTCTGGTTTTCTGGTGGTTAATTGAAGATGAAGAGTTTCAGAGACTTTCCTGCCCTAGCTGGCTCTCAACCCCAATCCTCAGAGCTCAGGCTCTTAGGAGTGCAAGCATGAGCCACCAGCATCCAGCTCCTCAAGTTTTCTTGACTTAATAGCTCTGCTGGTGTTCTACTACTGAACCCATGTTCTAGCCTTGTTTTTGTTTTGTTTTTATTTTTTTGCTATTAGTTGGAAGTAAAAGTCTCAAGGACTTTTCTGCCTTAGCTGACCTGAAACTGCCACCTTTCATATCTCAGTCTCCTGAGTAGAATTACAGCTGTGAGTCACTAGTACTTGGCTTATTTGGTAGCTTGGTGCTACCAATTAGCAGGATGGTAGCTGCATGTTTTCTGTTCTCCCTCTCTGAACAACTCTGACTTTAAGGAGACTATTTTTTTTTTTTTTGGCGGTTGTGGGGCTTGAAATCTGGGCCTGGGCGCTGTCCCTCAGCTCTTCAGCTCTAGGCGAGCGCTCTACCACTTGAGCTACAGCGCCACTTCCGGTTTTCTAGTGGTTTATTGGAGATAGGAGTCTCACGGTCTCTCCTGCCCAGGCTGGCTTTGAACCGCGATCCTCAGATCTCAGCCTCCTGAGTAGCTAGGATTACAGGCGTGAGCCACCGGCGCCCGGCTTAAGGAGACTATTAACTGCAGACCACTTGGGTTTTGAAAGTTTTAACCTAATTTGACACCTAATGGACCACTGGGTACAAACTGTTAACATTCCCGCATGAATCTAATTCCTTCACTTGAGCTTTTCCAAAGGTTCTGGACTATTAGATATAACCCCACTATTTAAGCTTTTCAACTATTAACAAAAAGATGCCTGGTGTTGTGGTATACTCCCATAATCCCAGCACTCAACTGAGACACGTGGATTACATCAGGAGTTCAAGGCCGGCCTAGTCCACCTAGCAAGTTCCAAGCAGGCCTGTGCTATCTAGTGACATCCTGTCCTAACTGTCGCACAAAATGACAGGCGTAGCAAAGGACCCTGGAATTCTGGGGCCGAGATGTGGCGCGGTGGGAAAGAACTGGCACGGCTCGTGTGAGGCTCTCAGTACCAGGCCAGCACCACGCACACAAAACCAGAAACTCCCCCACGGACGGCTCCGGGAGGTTCCGCCAAGGGCAACAGTTCATTCTTCGGGTAAGTAGGAGGCGCTTACCTGTGCCAGAGAAAGCCCTGGGCTCCGCGGAAGCTGCAGGTCCCTCGGGTCATGTCTCAGAGCCTTGTAGGTAAAGGCTGTGGCTCCGGAGTGGGAGCAGAGGATTCCGGGCACAGAGCGATCTCCCGAGGCTGGGGATGCCCAGCAGAGCCGGATACACAAGTGTACGCGGGGAAAGCCCAGGAAGCTGCGAATCGTCTGGAAAGAGGCTTTGAACCGCCCAGGCCTCGCCCTTCTCGCTCTTTGCGCCGGCGCGGCCCGACCTCTCGCCACAGGCGTCGGGGAACGCCGGCCACCGCACGTGGTTTTCCGAAGAACGGCGGAAGTTGGGAGCCGAAAACGCGCGCGCAGCCGCAGAACAGGTTGCAGTGTCGATGGCCGGCCCGTAGGGGGCGCCAGGGCCCCTGCGTCCCGCCCTGCCCCGCCCCGAGGGGTCAAGGGTCAAAAGTAAGTTGATGGCGGCGAATCTCCTGCTGGTGGCGGAGGTTCGTGATCCAGAGCTGATGGCGCCGCCGCAGCGCTGCCCTCTGTGCCGCCAGACTTTCTTTTGTGGCCGCGGGCACGTCTACAGCCGGAAACATCAGCGGCAGTTGAAAGGAGCTCTGGAACGACTCCTGTCCCTGGTGCGGACGCGGGGCTCGGGGCGGGGATGCGGGGCGGCGCGGCGCGGGCCCGCGCGGCCGTGCTCAGCCCAGCCTTCGTCCCCGTAGGTGGAAGCGGCCCGCAAGGCCATCCGCGCCGCCCAGGTGGAGCGGTTCGTGCCGGAGCACGAACGATGCTGCTGGTGCCCGTGCTGCGGCCGCGAGGTGCGGAGACATCTGAGCCACGGAAACCTGACGGTGCTGCACGGGGGTCTGCTGGAGCACCTGGCCAGGTGGGCGCGGGACGGGGGTCTGCTGGGGCACCTGGCCAGGTGGGCGCGGGACGGGGGTCTGCAGGGGCACCTGGCCGGGTGGGCGCGGGACGGGGGTCTGCTGGGGCACCTGGCCAGGTGGGCGCGGGACGGGGGTCTGCTGGAGCACCTGGCCAGGTGGGCGCGGGACGGGGGTCTGCTGGGGCACCTGGCCAGGTGGGCGCGGGACGGGGGTCTGCTGGGGCACCTGGCCAGGTGGGTGCGGGACGGGGGTCTGCTGAGGTAGTGGGGGCATTGTCGGTCTGCGCAGTAGAAACTTTATGGCCGCCGCGGTCCAGTAGTGAGTCACTGCCCACCAACTCAGCTTCATTGGAAGAAGGGAGAGTGGAGATCTTGAAGAGCGGCGGTAGTACTCCTCTGCCTTGCTTGTCCAGGGCAGGGATCCCCTGCCAGTATGTTATTTAACCTAATGCTCAGATTCCCATGATCAGAATCTGAGATGACTCATCATTGTCATTTTCAGCCCAGAACACAAGAAAGCCACCAACAAATTCTGGTGGGAGAACAAGGCTGAGATCCACATGAAAGAGAAATTTCTAATCTCCCCCCAGGACTATGCACGGTAAGTCCTTGGTTGTGGTTATCAGCAAAGATGAAGTAGCCGCGTTGATTCTTTCAATCTTTGCCAGTTATGAGATTTTTTTTTTTTTTTTTGGTTGGTTGTGGGGTTTTAACTCTGGGCCTGAGCTCCTCAGCTCAAGGCTAGTGCTCTATCAGTTTGAGCCACAGTTCTATTTCTAGCTTTTTGGTCAGTAGTTGAAGGGTCTCTTGGACTTTCCTGCCAGGGCTGGGTTTGAACTATGATCCAGGCCTGAGCCTACAATCAGTGCCTGACTGAGTAATTGATTTTCTCAAGTGTGATAGCCTAGAATATTACTGCTCTTGGAAGATGCCTGCCAGAATATTTAGACTTACATCTCATGTTTTGGCAAACGAGGTGTAGATGAAGGGGATATGACCAACAATCTGGATGAGATACATACAGAAGGGTGTTTAACATTCTTTTGTGAGTTTTATCAAAATTCAAAAAAAAACAATGTACCTAAGAGCTTTTCACAAATGATGGGCTGGGGTTCTAGGCAGATTTGTCCCTTTTCTTTTAGATTTAAGAAATCTATGGTGAAAGGTTTGGATTCCTTTGAGGAAAAAGAGGATGAGGTGATCAAAGAGGTAAGTAGGAAAGGCTCTGAAGAAGCCCATCTCACGATACTGACCCCCATGATACTGAACTGGTCTGAGCATCCTTTCTCCTACAGATGGCAGCTCAGATCCGTGAGGTGGAACAGAGCCGGCAGGAGGTGGTCCGATCCGTTTTAGAGGTTGGTTTTTCTCCGAGGATCCAGAGCAGTATCCAAATCCACTTATCCCTGCTTTCCTAGATCCAGCCTTCCAACTTGCAGCTCTTCTCAGAGAAGTCCGAGACTCCATTCCTATCTGCTTGGCTTGAATCCCCTGTGGGCCAGGGGCAAGCCTGGGCCATGGTGATGTGGGTGGGACCTTCCATGATACTAGAATCTGGAGTGTGGGGGCATGGCCAAGGTAGGCTCTTAAGCACCTTAGACACATTTATTTTTCCTGAATCAAACTCAGCCTCAGGCAGAGCCAGAACCAGAAGAGGGCTCTTCAGCACCAGGAAGCTGGAAGGAGACAAACAGGTAGGAGTCGGGATACATCTGGCCTGTGGGCTCTGTATGGCTTACAAGGTCATTTGGTCTATGATGGGACACATGCAGCTGCTCACCAGCTGCCTATATTGGTAATTTTGTATGACCTGGAAAAATGGTACAGCCAAATAACTGATGGCAGGAAAAAGGTGCCTTTTTGTTGTTGTTTTAATGTGAGATGAGTGGGGAATGGGAGGAACCGACCTAAATGTTTCTATCCTCATGGCCCAAGAACCTCACCTGGCAGCCTGGCTACCTGTTTGTCTTTCAGCCAAATAGCCTGCAGCTCACGACAGCCCTTACAGCTGGACCTGCAACCTGCTCCTGAGCTCGACTGGATGGAGACAGGCCAACCTCTCACGTTCATTGGTCGTCAGGTACAGTGGACTAGCAAGCCAGAATGCCAGAGTCCCCTCAGTCTCATGATAATTGCCCACCTGGCTTTCCTGCCATGGGTACGTCACTATCCCACACTCAGCTCACTTTCCAGAACATGTAAGTTTGTCCTATTAAGTGTAACTCCTGTCTCAATACTGGGACAATTTCTACTCACCCTGTATCACCTGCCCTGTCAAAACCCACACTGCAGTGATGAGATGGTGCTGTAACACTTCCACTCATACTTTTCTTCCTCTCAGCATTGTCATCTTTGTACAGGTCTTAGTTGTCAAAACTGGTCATCTATTACAAACAGATGTGGCACCACTTAGTTTTCAATGTACTATGTGTAAAGTAAGCCTCTTTCACAACTCTATATATATCTTAAGACATTCTTCTAGACACATCCACCACTATTAAGACTGAGAGCCTCTAGAGACCAGGACTGTCCAAAAGATTTAGTGTATACTCTGCAACAGGATTAGCATTGCGGTGGTTACTCTCTGGCTCTATCTTATCTTAGATCTTTTCTCCATTTGTACTACAGGATACACCTGGAGTTGGTAACATCCACTCAGGTAAGGCCCCAGTGTTCCTAAAACTACAAGCAGTTGAAACCCCAGAATCACTTTATTAGTCAAATGCAAATGAGAGTCTTTATCACTCCCTCCAAACACCTTAATATGTTAGACTGATTATACTAAGTGTTGGGCAAAGATATAGTGAAAACAGAACTTTCTTACACCCTTGATAGAAATGAAAAATGAGGGGCTGGGAAGGTGGCTCAGTGGTAGAGCACTTGCCTTGTATGCATGAGGCCCTGGGTTCGGTTTCTCAGCACCACATAAGCAAAAAGAAAAAAGCCGAAAGTGGCGGCTGTAGCTCAAGTGGTAGAGCGCTAGCCTTGAGCTGAAGAGCTGAGGGACAGTGCCCAGGCCCAGAGTTCAGGCCCCATGACCAGACCCCCCCCCAAAAAAAATGTAAAATGATACATTGGGAAAAAAATGACCAGCCTTTCCACATCTACCCACTCAAGACAAACTCCTTCACACATGTATGTAAATGTCAATGGCAGCCCAAAATTAGAAATAATCCCAATGTCCATCTACAGGTACCTGAATTAACTGAACATATTACATACGTAACAAACACCAGCAGTTAGGAGAAAAGACAAGCACTTTACTTAAATACAGGCACCAAAAATGTGCAATTAAGCACCATGCCTCAAGCCTATAATCCTAGCACTGCTCAAAAGAAAGCTGAGGTGCTGGAATGTGGCTTACTGGTAGTGCCTGCCTACCCTGCCTGAAACCCTGGGTTCAATTCCTCACTACCACAAAAGCAGAAAAAAAAGTGGCATTGTGGCTCAAGCCGTAGAGTACTAGCCTTGAGCAAAAAGCAGCTCAGAGACAGTACCCAGGCCCTGAGTTCAAGCACCAGGACTGTCCAAAAAAAAAAAAAAAAAAGGGCTGAGGCTGGTGGTTAATGTCTGTAATCCTCATTACTCAGGGAGCCAAGATCTGAGGATTAGGATCTAAAGTCAACCCAGGCAGCAGTATTTGTGAAAGTCCTTAATTTCTCTAAGCAGGCAAGCTGTAGGACCAGCATGCAAGTACACAAAGATTAACAAGGGCTGAGACCTGAGAATTTCATTTCCAAGCCAGATCAGACAGACTAGAACAAAGTATAAGCAAGTACCTTTTCAAGTCTGTTGACTCTTTGAAACTAGTTGAGGACCTTTAATATCTTAGGGTTTTTCAAGAATACTGGAGCCTTTCTAGTTCAGTCAGGCACAGTAACAGCCAGCCCATGTTCCTCAGTAAGGATGTTTTTTATCTCATTCCCCAGTACCACTAAAAGTACTCTTAATTCTGGGTTGGGTCTTTCGCCAGGTGCCACACCTCCCTGGATGATCCAAGATGAGGAACACAGCTCTGGAAACCAACCAATAGGACCTTCCTATGAAGAATTTCTTAAAGAGAGTAAGTTCAGAGCTGTTGCATAAGGAGGGTACAGTAGCACATATCTGAAGCACAGGCAGTGTCTTGCCTGGGCCATGCATTTATGAGGCCAACTAAATGTTTCCTTATTGCAGAGGAAAAGGAGAAACTCAAGAAACTCCCCCCAGACAGAGTAGGGGCCAACTTTGACCACAGCTCTAACACCACTGCAGGCTGGCTACCCTCTTTTGGCAGAGTGTGGAATAATGGGCGCCGCTGGCAGTCCAGGTATGGGTCCATTTGGGACTCCAGCCTGCCACTGTCTGGGGTTGTCACCATCCTGTTAACCTTTATTTCCTTTCAGGCATCAGTTCAAAACTGAAGCTGCAGCAAGGAACAAACAGTCACATACAGAAAAAAGCTGATTATTCCCATCCAGATACTCCTCTAGTCACCAGCTGAAAGTCACTCATGTATGACCAAATACTTTACAACTTTATAATCGCTTCTCTTAAAAAAACGGACACACTCATTCACTGGTGTAATAAAGTTTTATTTTTCCAAATGTACAGCTGATTGGATCTGTTAAAAGAAAAATTAAGAATCAGAACCAGAGCCTTGCAAAGGAATGTATGCTTGTACATTGTTAAAATTCTTGGGTCTGTGCTTACCTGTTCATGCATCTTCACCAGCAGCCGGGGCATCTCCACCTTTAGTATTTCTAGTGTAAATTACTTGAGCTCTGTGCTTTGAGACTAACTTGATAAGTCCTAAGGAAAAAAGAGAAAAGCTTTCACACAGTAGTACTTTGTTAATTCTACTTGCAACTAAACTAAATGTGGCACTCAGACCCATTACTGAATTTTAAAATTTCAAGGAGTCGGTAAACAATTACACTGTGAAACCTTTTTACATTTTAAATTTTCTCAATAAAGTAACTTAAAGGAGCAATTGCTGGCTTAAGTGGTAGAACTGCACAGCAACTCTAAGCTCAATTATTCCCAGTACTGGAGGAAAAACATTTCCTCTTGACTGGCATTGGTGGCTCATGCCTGTAATCCAGCAGGGGCTGAAAAGTCCCTGTGAGACTCACCTCCAATTAGCTACCAGAAAACTGTAACTGGAGTAGTGGCTGAAATGGTAGCGAGCTAGCCTGGAGCCAACAGTACTCAGGCCCCAAATATCAGTCCCACGACCGACAAAAAAAGTTTCCTCTAAATTCTACATGATTTCAGACCAGACTTTCTTGGGGAGTGGGTCGGTGGACTGAGTGCAGGGTCTCCCACTTTTTTTCTCCAAATCTCCCCAAATACTTCCCCAGGAAAAGTAGGACAGGTGAGTCTTGACAATTGAATCCCTGAAAGCCCTCCTCACCTTTACTAAGCAGCTCCTGAAGGGCTGCCCTGGCCAGGGAGCCACGAATCTTCAGCCTCTCAGAAACCACAGCAGGGGTTATGAGTTTATAGTTCGGAACTTCCTTACAGAGTTTGTCGTAAGTGGCTTTGTCAAACAGGACGAGGTTGTTGAGTTTATCCCGAACTTTGCCTTTGGACCACTTCTGCTCACAAAAACAAGGGAAGCCAGTCAGTAATCCCGACAGAAGCGCTCGTCTCCCCTCCCCCCAAGCAACAAGCGTCTGAGAAATCCACAGGTTGCACGGGTGCAACCTCCCTGGGGCTTTGAACACCTGTAAGTAACATCAACGCGTCTGAGCAGACGGTCTACGGCACTTATTTCAATGGCTTAAGTAGCGCGGATCATCCCGTCCTTCACACTGAGACTCAGTGGCGAAGCACTAACTCCACGGGCTGCCGGACAGCCCGCCTCCCCTACCTTCTTCTTGGCCTTGCCCCCAGACTTGTTTACTGGGTCCTTGTCTTTCTTGGCCGACTTCCCGGCATCTTTCTTCTTCTTGTCGTCCTTGGGCGGCTGTGGGGAGGAAGCCGAGCAGGGGTGCTGAGGCGGGCCCGCGCCCCGCCGCCGAGCACGTGGGGCAGTCCCGCGCGCCCAAACCCCGCCCGCACCCAGGGGCCCTCCGGCGGGGCCGCCCGCACAGCAGCCCGGCCCCGCCCGGTACAGAGAACCACGTCGCTTCGCACCCCAAAACTCACCATCGCAAGGCCTGGAGAGCGGGAGAGACCGCTGCGGCTTCGTCAAGATGTCGGACAGAAAGGAAGTGCTCCTCCCCGACAGGCCCAGAAACCTCAGGCCGCCGCAAGTACTTCCGGGGCGAGGGGCGGGGCCACGCGGAGGAAGTTAGGGCGGGAAGGGGCGTGGCTACGCTCCACACTTGACGCGGTCGCGTTGCTCTACTCGGGCACTGGGGAACAGGAAACGACTTGCCAGGTCCCGGACCAGTTTCTCCGCATAACTGGGTCAGCCTGCAGCTCCGAATGCGCACGCGCCGCAGATGGTGGGCGGAGTACTGGGAGACAGCCGGCGGAGTGGGCCGGGCAGGACCTGCGACGGCATTTCCGGGGCGGGGTCGTCGGACAGAGGCTGCATCCGGGAGTCACCGCGGCAGCCATGGCGATTTTTAGCGTGTATGTGGTGAACAAAGCTGGCGGCCTGATTTACCAGTTGGACAGCTACGCGCCACGGGCGGAAGCTGAGAAAACTTTCAGTTACCCGCTGGACCTGCTGCTCAAGCTACACGACGAGCGGGTGCTAGTCGCCTTCGGCCAGCGCGACGGCATCCGGGGTGGGCTGGGCGCGGGCCGGGGCCGGGGGCGGGGCCAGCCGCGGCGGAGGCGGGATAGGGGCGGGGCGGCCGGCGTGGGGGGGCGGGGCGGCCGGCGTGAGGGGGCGGGGCGGCCGGCGTGAGGGGCGGGGCCTAGGAGGGTCCCAGAGGGGCCGGAGTCCCCTCAGCGAAGCCCGGGGCTGTAGCGGTGCTGACCCTAGGCCTCACCTCTGCAGTGGGCCACGCGGTGCTGGCCATCAATGGCATGGACGTGAACGGCAAGCACACGGCCGATGGGAAAGAGGTGCTGGAGTATCTGGGTAACCCTGCTAACTACCCGGTGTCCATTCGTTTCGGCCGGCCCCGCCTCACCTCGAATGAGAAGCTCATGTTGGCCTCCATGTTCCACTCGTGAGTACCCCAGCCCTTCGTAGCGCCGCGGGCTTGGGCGTGGCGTCGGTTGGGTTGGCCTGGTTCTGCGGGCGGGGCCAGGCTTTTCTATAACCTCCCTCCTTGGAGCGTTCGGTTCCTGTGAAACCAGCTGATCAGGGATGTGTAAATTTTCGGTAGTACAGAGGTGAGATCTGGCCTGAGTTAGCCTCTTTTTTCTGAGCCTTAGTGTCTTCATCTTGAAAGGAAGGCAACTGAATTAATGACCTTTAAAATTAATAACTGGTATGAGATGTGCAGGGATAGGCCTAGCTGTGGACTAAGTAAATATGCACATAATCCCCAGAGTGTTTGTTTTACCCGGAGTTTTTAGTGTAAAGCGTTTTATAGCAAAACAGGAATGGCGGGAGCTGTAGCTCAGTGGTAGGGCACTTAATGTAGTAAAATATGTAATGGAAAATAGAAGTCATGTGAATTTGAAAGAATTATTTTTGTCGGTTATGGAGCTTGAACTTGAGTCCTGGACGCTGTCCCTGAGCTCTTTTTACTCAAGGCTAGCGCCTTCCACTTTGAGCCACTTGTGATTTTCTGGTGGTTAATTGGAGGTAAGAGTCTCCTGGCCTTTCCTTCCCAGGCTGGTTTTGAACCAAGATCCTCAATCTCAGCCTCTAGAGTAGCTAAGACTTCAAGCATGAGCCACCAGAGCCCAGCTGAAAGAAATTTTGACACAGCTGCTAGACAGTCTACATTAACTTTCCTGACTATGCCAGGCTGTAAAACAAATTCTCTGCAGGTAGAAATCAGCTCAATGGAAAAGTGAGGGGTGCATTCCCGACTTGCCTCCTTTGCACACACAGGCTCTTTGCCATTGGTTCCCAGCTGTCTCCTGAACAGGGAAGCTCAGGCATTGAGATGCTGGAAACAGACACATTCAAACTGCACTGCTTCCAGACACTGACAGGTATGTGTTTATAGGTAGGCCAAAGGGATAGGTGATTGACCAAAGACAGGTTTGGTAAGCAGGGGTGGTGTCACACTTTCCTGAGACAGTGGTACAGACACATCTATTTACTGGCTTTGTGAAGCCAGAGCCAATATGTAATCTGAAGCTGGTATTTCTTATGTTACTCAGCATTTTCAGCTCTGGCCATCCTGGGTTCAGAAAATTCACCTCATGTTAACATTGCACACCCAAGAGAATTTTCAAGTGTTGTTCCAAAATGAAACTTGAAAGCCAAGTGAAGATGGCCTTATCATTGCTTCACTCCCTAGTGCAGATAACGGAAAACTCCCTGCACTTACCCTGTTTGGTTGGCACTGAGGAATTACAAGAGTGGGAGTAAGTGGCACAGCTAGAACTAGAACCTGGTCTCAGCCTGGTGATAAAAGTCACAGCATTTCTTTGGCCCCTTCTGCTTGATGAAGTAATACAAACTTTTTTAAAAAATCGCAACAGTCTTTTACAAAATTGAAAAGGCTTTCCTATACAGAATGACATTACTTGCTGCATTTTGTCCCTCTGGTATAACCATCCTTGGCTTCTCTCCAGGGATCAAATTTGTGGTGCTGGCAGATCCCAGGCAAGCTGGAATAGATTCTCTTCTCCGAAAAATTTATGAGATTTACTCAGACTTTGCCCTCAAGAATCCATTCTACTCACTGGAAATGCCCATCAGGTAGGTGAGCCTATTTCCCAGACAGTGGTCAAAGCATTGTACACCTCCCCCAAATCATGAAGTTTGAGAGTATTACTTTTAAATAAGACTCCTCACTAGTCCTTTGGGACTGTAAAGACTTCCCTTGGAATTTTTTTTTTTTTTGGGGGGGGGTCCGGTTGTGGGGCCTGAACTCTGAGCCTGTGAGCTGTCCCTCAGCTCTTCAGCTCAAGGCTAGCGCTCTACCACCTGAGCCACAGCGCCATTTCCATTTTTTTTCTTTTTGCTTATGTGGTGCTGAGGAATCGAACCCAGGGCCTCATGCATGCAAGGCAAGCGCTCTTATCACTGAGCCACCTTCCCAGGCCCTTCCCTTGGAATTTACATCTTTAAAGTCGTGTTTCTAAGTGGTGCTGTGGCTCAAGCCATAGAGCACCCGCCTTGAGCTGAAGAGCACAGGGACAGCGCCCAGGCCCAGAGTTCAAGTCCCATGACCGACAAAAAAAAAAAAAAAAAGTAGTGTTTCTGCTGATTCTGCCTGTATACCCCAAGTGGGAAGGAAGCCTCAGGCCTCACACTTTTCTGTCTCCTGGATTTGGCCTAGGTGCGAGCTGTTTGATCAGAACCTGAAGCTAGCCCTAGAGGTGGCAGAGAAGGCTGGAACCTTTGGACCTGGGTCATAAGCTAAACTGGCAATGGGCTTTCAAATTCTGAAATCCTCGGCAGGGGTTCTTCTGCTTCCACTCTAGTGGGGATCCTGTTGCAGCAACCTTGGAGTGTACTTGAAAATGGGGCAGTCCTGAGCTGAAGTGTTTGCTCTCTTCCCTTCTGTATATATCAAGGTCCTGCTTCCTGACTGTACAGATTTATTTATGGAGGAGGTAGGACCATAAGTGCTCTAATAAACCTTCTTAGTTCCAGTCTGTCCTGACTGATGGTGTTTGGGGAAAAGGAATGGGGGTGAAGTAGGGCAGATGGCAAGGGCCAGCTAGGCATGGCGATACATGCTTACAATCCCAGCTACTTGGAAGGTGTAGGTAGAATTGTGATTCAAGGCTAGCCCAGGCAAAAGTGAAAAAAAAAAGCAAAAAAAACCAAAAAACCAACAGGGGGGTGGGGGGTAATTCCAGGGTAAGGAGATACTGTTTTGGGAGACAACAAAAGTGTTAATAAATGAGCCTCTACTTTGAATTATGAACCTTGGATGTAGTCAGAATTGTCATTGATTTCCTGGAGGGGGAGGGGGGGCTGAGATAGTGCTGGTGGTGGAACAATTAGCCAGCGCTTAGAGCCAGGCTTTATTGCTTTGTCTCACTTCATCTGCACCCTAACACCAGGGGTACCTTCTCTTCCAGATGAGGTGGAGCAAGGTGTACCTATCTCCATGTCTCAGATTCTCCAAGCCAGTCACTGACAGTCTAGTTTTACACCGTTTTCTGACCAGTCTGTGAACCATGACCCCACTACTCAATCAAGTTATTTAACCTATTACCTAGTAGTTTTGTCTGTGAAGTGATCATTGATTATACAACATTCAGTTGAAGGCATAAGAGGCCTGAGCTTAAGGGCCCCATTAACACTTCATCTTCCCTATTCCAGGGAAATGAAGTCTTTCTTTTGTTCTTTTTTGGGGTCCAGTCGTGGGGCCTGAACTCTGGGCCTGGGTGCTGTCCCTCAGCTCTTCATCTCAAGGCTAGCACTCTACCACTTGAGCCACAGCGCCACTTCCAGCTTTTTGCTTATGTGGTACTGAGGAATTGAACCCAAGGCCTCATGCATGCGAGGCAAGTGCTCTACCACTGAGCCACCTTCCCAGCCCTTCCTTTTTTTAAGTTGGTTGTGGGGCTTGAACTTTGGGCCTAGGCATGTCCCAGAGCTCTTCAGTTCAAGGATAGCACTCTCCCACTTGAGCCACAGCACTATTTCCGGTTTTCTGGTGGTTAATTGGAGAAAAGACTCACAGACTTTCCTGCCTGGGCTGGCTTTGACCACAATTTCAGATCTCAGCCTCCTGAGTAGCTAGGATTATAGGTGTGGGCCACCAGCACTCGGCCAAAGTCTTCTTTGAAGTGGAAAGAGTAATGAGAGTAATTTCCCAAAGAAAAGCTGCCTAGTTTCTGTTACCCCTTTTGAAAGAATGAGTCACTGTTTAGTATCAAATCTAGTTTTAATCTTCTGTAACAAGTCATCTTACCCTCCCCTCCATCTCCTCCCTGCTATACCCAGGGTACCCGCTTGCTTTCTTCCTCCAGAGCCTGAGGTACTGGCAATAGCTTTGCTCACTCTGGAGAGGACTTAAGGCAGAGCAGAAGTCACTCGTCATTAGTGCCCTGCAACTGCAGAAACAGCCTTACCAAGTGGGAACTGATAGAACTGAGACAGGACAGGGCCCAGAAGGGGAAGAAAGGTGTAGGAGACGTCAGGATGTATATGCAGGGGTTGCCTGTTTGAAGGCAGGGCATGAGCTGATGGCGTCCAGGAGCAGAGGTTATCGCTTAAATACAGGACTGGGAGCTAGGACCTCATGAGCCACTAATAAACTTTCAGTGCCGCCTGGGTGAGGCAGACATTGCACATAGAGAAAAACAGGTTCCAGTTGGACAGACGAGGTTCCGTCCTAGCAGGGGCCGCCCGCTCCCTCCCTGCATCCTAACGTTTGAGCGGGGAGCGGAGGCACCGCAGAAGGCGCTCCAGAGCCGGCACTCTTCACTCAGCCTTCTTGGGTACGCGGCCCATCTTGGTTCGGATGTTTCGGAGCAGGAAGAAAGCGGCTGTGCTGACTGCACAAATCACCTCGGCCACCCAGAAGGCTGTGCTCCAACTGTAATGCTTGGCGATGGTGCTGAAGGGCAGCCCGGCCAGAAAGCCGCCCACTGTCAGGAGGGAGGGGAGCTGCCTGAGCTGAGTGTGAGGGGAAAGCCAGTGGGGGGGACTGGCTCTGCCTCGAGGAGCGGGCCTTGCGCAAGGCACAAGTGGGGACAAGGCAGCTACTCTACAGGGTACTACTTACCATTTGCCATGAGTCCCACAATGGCGTGAGAGGTGCCACACAAGTTGGGAGGGGCACTCTCATTGGCTATGACTCCAAACAAGGCAATGGGACCATAGGAGGAAAAACCAAACACAGCTCCCAACACCAGGATCCAGATCTGCAAGGGCAGCGCGGGGTGCCATTCAGAACTCCAGAAAGCAACCTTCCTGCCTACCTCTGCCAGATCACAAAGTCTTTGGCCACCAAAAACCAACTCTAACAAAGGGACAGTAAGTTACCCACTCACCCAAGTCCCTAGTACAAATGACAACACTGAGCTAGAATGCTGAGCCAGCTCAAGGAAGGCCTATGTGGGCAGGGGAAGGAGGTAGAGAAGTCCTCTCCTGAGCTGCATATTGGCTGATTTAGAACTTGCTGGACTGGTTGGGACAGGCAAAGGGGCAGGACAGTGGCAAGACAGACCAGGAATAAAATGAGAGACCACTTTAAGGCACCTCATGCTCCGTAAAGCCCGTGAGCTCAGCGAGAGGATGGAGAGCTGGAGTCCAGAAAGCAACATCCTAGAGGAGCAGAAGAAAGAAGAAAAGCAGGCCCAGAGTAGACACCAGAGTACAGAGGCGAGATCTGAGGGCAACAGATCAGAAGAAGAGCAGCAGGGAAGCTGGCCCTGGATGGGGCCAGGGAGGGGCCCAGTCACAGTGGTCCGTGCATAGCCCTTGGCCAGGCTCTCCGTATTTACCTTGGGGGAGTCACTGGTCACTGTCACCCGGAAGAGGTACATGGATGCTGTCATGCCAGCCATCATGAACAGCAACAGGCCATGGCGGGGGTTTCCGTAGACAGACAGCCCTGCCTATGAAGATAGTCCAGAGACTTCAGGCCCTCAGAGCCCAACCCAGCACCCCCACGGTGGACTCTGACACAGCAGTAGGGCTGCTGCTGACAGGTCTGTGGCAATCCCATCACAGTTCTTGGCTCTGGGAGGCCCTGGGCCTTGCTCATGCTCTGAGGCCAAATTCCACAACATCCTGTCCTCCGCTATGGGGCAGGTGTACAGCACGTGCTGGGGAGCTGTACCCAGTCCGTCCCCACCCCCAGCTTGCCTGGGGCACTGGAGAAGCCAATTTAGCCAGATTCTGGCGCTCTCTGACATCAGTTGAAACCCTTTCCCAACAACCTATTGTCCCTAAGTAAGGTAGGAGAAGCCTGGACTCATTCCCACCTGAACCAGCTGTGCCAACCAGCCTCCGTCCCACAACTCTTGTCTCTCCAGGGCTTTTCCAAGCCATGCAGAGAAGACTCAAAGGGAAGACTCCCGTTGGCCCACTCACCTTTGCCATGGCTCGGTCTGACAGGTAGCCAGCTGCGATGCTGCCTATGAGGCCCCCAACCTCCAAGGCACTCATGTAGGAGCTACCTGCAAGGGGGAGTTGTGATGGGAAGAACGAAGGAGGGGAGGGTGAACCAGAGGTACCCAGGCCTCAAGGAACGAATAAGGCTAAAAAGAAGCAAGGCCTGCATTTCTCCCCCGTAGGACCCATTTCTTCCCACCCCAACACCCATCTTACCCACAAGGGCAGACTGTCCTTTCTCCTGAATAAGGAAGAACTGGCCCCAGTCTGTGCAACAGGTCTTGACTCCAAACACTACCAGGTAGCCGGTGGAGAGCACCCATAGGTAAGGGGACAGCAGCAGCTCCTGAAGGGTGCTGTCTTCCTTTGAGGAGCCTAGAGGTGGGAGGGGCCAGAAGCTTTCAGGTGTTGTGTTTTGGGTGGTGGTGTTTTTGTTCCTTGTGTTCAGTACTGGGAACTGCTGGGCAAACACTCATGCCCCCAGCCTTTTTAGCTGTGTGTGTGTTGTTGTTGTTTTTGAATCTATAGCCCAGTCTGGAACACACCATCCTCCTGCCTCCACCGCCCAAGTGCTAGGGTTGAAGGAATGCATCATCACATCTAGCCTCAGGCTTTTTGCTCTGCTGTCCGACCCCAACAGCGCCCCTACCATTCATCAACTAGCCCCAGGGACAGAGTCCATGGGCACAACGAGGACCAGTGTGACCGGGGGCCCTAGAGCACCTGTTTCCCTTTCCCCAACTCTGCTGCAAGCCTCAAGGAATGACAGAGAACTGAGAACTAGGGCAGATGAAAGAAGACAATGCAGCCACATAAACTTGGGGTGCTGTGCAGGGTGCTACTCCAAGGAAAGACCAGGATGTGACATGAGTCGCAACGCCTGTTCACTCTAAGGATGGAGTTCTACTTGTTTCCCACCCACCCTCCTTGCTAGCCCTTCCCCTGCATCCACCGGTTAGCACAGGATGTGGCAGAGGGCTAATTCTGCCAAGCGAATGATGGATGAGCGTGGGTGAGGGCTCACCCTTCTTGCCCTTGGAGGGGGTAGGGTCCAGGTTGCGGAGTCCAACATCAGCAGGTTCGTTGTGGATGAACAGCAGGCAGAGGAAGGAGACCACCACACACAGTGCCCCAGACATGGTCAGCGTGCTGCGCCAGCTATAGCTCTGGGCAAGGATGGTGGCCAGGACAGGACCCAGCCCTCCGGCCAGGTTCATGCTGGTTGACAGGATGGCCCACCACGTGCCAAACTGGGACGGCTCAAACCACTGTGAGGCAGAGAGGGGGAGAGTAGGTACCTGGCCCACAGCCCATGTTGACAGAGGGGCTAGGGTAGGGCAGACCCGGCTCATATTACAAGGATGAGGGAGAAGGTAGTTCCACTTGGCAGGGCAGTACCCTCATCTGCCACCTGACCCCACCACTCTCAGACTCCTAAAATATCTTGACAAGCAATAGAAGCCGGCTGGGAATGCCTAAGGAAACTGCTGTGGGCTGGGTCAGAAAGAGTGGGCAAGAAGGGGGTGCCCACACCCTTGTCCAGTACCCTTCATGCTAATCCAAACACACCTTCCGAAGGATCTTCCCACAGGGAGGCCAGCCCAGTCCCTGTGCTAGGCCATTCAGGAACCAGAGAGCAGCAAAGACAGGTACTGTGGAGCTCCAGGAAAAGACTACATTGACCAGGCCAACCAGAAGCAGTCCAGAGGAGAAGAGCCAGCGAGCACTCATCTGATCGGACAGCACCCCACTCACAAACTTGCTGATGGCATAGGCTGCAGACTGGCTGCTGGTGATGAGCCCTGCAGGGGAGGGGAGCAGGGAGGAGGACACCTGGGGAGTTAGGGGCAGGGCAGAGGCACAGGAAGGGTGGAGGAAGGCACGGGGTCAGGTGTGTGGAGGTGCCCAGCAGGATGAGACAGGTTCCTTCCCCAAGGAACAGGAGGATCTGTGTTTGAGTCCTGAGGTTCTCACAGGGCCTGAGGCCTGTGCTACCTCTCCAGCCTGCTCCAGGGCCAAGAAAGAAGCAGTTCCTCTCCCTGGGATCTGCACGCCACCTCACCAATGCCAGCCCAAGACCTCTAGCAATTGCCCCACCTCTGGACATGGGGTGAGGGACTCTCATTCCTTCTGGAAGGTAGCATGTGTGTCAGGCCATGTGAAGTCTTGGTGCCATCGTCCCTTCCCCCGCCCTCCCTGGTGCTCACCTCCACCTCTGCAGGCTCACATAGGTGTGAAAAGCTTACTCTGAACCCAGCAAACACACTCATCATGAACAGTGTCTCTGAGAGGGCATGTGGGTGAGAGGCACACACACCAATACACAGCGCCAGATGACTGGCCAGAGTCCTGCTGTGCGGACGCTTCTAGCATGCTACACACCCATACACACTACACTGCCACACACACTCAATGTGTCCTGCTGGTTCCAGTGCTCCAGACCCGCCACCCTTCCCTTCCAGGGCTTACCCAAATCATCCTTGTCCAGAGGGATCTCTTCCACCAACGATGGCATGACAAAGGAGAAGGTCTTGCGATTGTAGTAGTACAGGCTGTAGCCCCCAAACATGGCTGTGAATATCACAGTGCGGTAATAGCCGTAGCCTTGGGCCTCCATGATGGAAAAGAACAGGCCCTGCCAGCCAGGACACTGAGCTCCGACCACAACAACACAACACCTCCGACTACTCCTGCTAGAGGCTCTCAGTGCCCAGATCTGCTGAGCTGGGTTTTTTTCTGCTCCCTCCTCCACCCAGACTCCCTTTATAGCCGCCTTCTGGACAATTATTAAACTCTAGGCGGCTCCTAGGGAACCCAGTGTCCTGAGGGAGACAAGAAAACAGGAGATTACGGAGAGCCAAACTGGGGGGGGTGAGGGGGTAGGGGTCCCTGAGGGGAGGCATGCCTGAGAGCCAGGCCAGAACCCTGTGTCCCTTTCCTCCTTTTGCATTGTCCTTCTGACTGGGAAAGGAGCTGTGATTAAAGGCTCAGCCTAATTACTTTTGTCTGCATGAGCCCAGGGGAGGCTGGGCAGAGCAGAGCGGCCCTCTACCCAGCCCCGCTCCCTCAGTGAGGGAACCTCAAGTTCAGGGAGGATTCACTGAGGACTTCCTGGTCGTGAGGCACAGCAATGGGCTGCAGCTGGCTTCTACACTGTCCCTTTCAATCTGACACACCCCAACAACCCTCTAGAGGTAGGCCTTCTAGAGGGGACCTCATCCAGGGCTTACCATAAATGGGGTGTAACTTTCTTGACACAGTAGCCCCCCTCATCCTAGAAGAACGAGACAAGAACCTAAATACGCTTTTTCCCTACCTACCAGTGACAGTTTAATTTACTAATCGGGCACAGGCATTAACGACCATAAAACAATTACAGCAGTAGTCCACAGTGACTTCACACACGGTGACATTCGCCCACCGCGGCTGGCCTCCTCCTGACCGCAGTAACTAGAACACGCAAGGCCAAGCCGCACAAGTTTCGCGGGGGGATCCCCTCCCCACGCGCCCGGCGGTGACACACAGGAAGCCCGCGGGCCAGGCTGGGCCAGGGCCACGCAGAGCCGCCTCTGGGTCCCCCCCCCCATTACCCTGCGAAGTCCGTCCGGGCTCGGCGGGCGGGCGGGTGCGCGGCG